AAATTTGTGATGGAAATCTCTTCAGAGAATACACTTAGTCTTGACAGAATTATTCAGAGTATTTTATTGAATAAGGTAATGCATTTAAGCCTATAATGAAATCCCTCTTTGTAAAATACCTGTGGTGGTGAGGAATCCTCTCTGTGTTCCGGTACTGGTCAGACGTGCTGAGGGTGGGAGTTGAGAGGATGTGTGACACCACCCACACATCTCAGACCAGGAGAAGACTAGAGGGCATGACTGGCCACTGAATGTGAAGAAAAAAATCAAAGGAAAACAAAATCTTTTAAGAAAAAATGTAAAAACCCAGAGAGACAAAAATTATGAGGCATTATATGGAGCTCTTGTTGAGAATGCAGAATGAGAAATGCAGACTTTGTATAAAACATGGCAGCTACCCAGCACCTTCTGTGTGCCAGGCAATGACTTGTTCTCTGGACAAGGAATAAAACATGAAATGACATCAAGCATGAGCTATTATTAGAACACTACCTGGTATGTAGTCAGTGGCATATGCTTGTCAAATAAGAAGTTCTTAGGACCAAAAAGGGGTAGAAGGTTAGTTAACAAACACATGTAGTACTAAATACAGTGGGTGAATGTGTCAAGAAAGTTACCAAGGAATTAGGAGAGGGAGAAAATTCCATCTAGAGTGACTGGACATACATGATGGAGGAGGTAGCATTCAGTCACGCCTTAGTGGAAAAGGTGAGATGATTGCAAGGCAGGGCATCTGATCCCTCGTCAGCTCTTCCTGGACTGTGGCCACAGCCTCTCATTCCCCCTACTTCCTGGTGTGGAGAATAAATATCCACATGACCTCCAAATCCTTTAAAATCCCCAAAACCAAGCCAAACCAGTTGCCATAAAGTCAGTTCTGACTCATGGCAACCCCATGTATGTCTAAGTAGAATTGCTGCATAGGGTTTTCTAGCCTGTGACCTTTCAGAAGCAGATCGCCAGACTTGTCTTCTGAGAAGCCTCTGAGTAGGTCAGAACTGCCAATCCTTCAGTTAGGAGTCGAACATTTAAACAACCATGCTACTCAAGGCTCCCTTTAAAACCCCAGTGGCTCCCAATTATGGACAGGAAAAATGTGCAGAAGACCCCTTCCAACCAGCACCCCTCCTGCCTCTCACCCATTCTGGGCTGAACCTGCACACAGCTTTACCTTCATCTTACTCCACCTGAGGGCTTCCTTGCCCCTCTTTTCAGACTGGAAAGTTTGTTCCCTTCTGAGTCCCTACCCCAGATGGCACTCCACCTCCTACCCAACAGAGTTAAGCCCTGTGTCCATATAGCACTTTGTAAACTTCAGCATTTTTCAGTTTACAGCACAGTTATTTGTTTGTATCTAGTGTCTCCTACTAGACTTTGAGCTTTTTAAGGAACAGATGTTTGTTGTTTATTTTTCCACCTCAATATTTAACATAGGCCTTGCCCATAACACACACTGAATGAATAAATGGATGGAAGAATGAAAGAATGGATGGATGAATGGAAAGGAAAAGAAGGTAAAGCAGGGAGGTAGAAGTGGGCTCTGACTAAGAATAGAAACAGGGCTGGGTTTTACACTTGGAAGCATTCTGAGCATTGAAATAAGGAGAATGAAAAAGAGAGAATATTTTGGGAAGAAAAGATGAAGCCTGAGGGTCAGGAACAATGAGGACTTCACAGTTTAGCAGCAAGAGCCTCAGAGGCTGGGGAAATGCCCAGGGATGCCAGGACTCCCAAGAGAAAATGTGTGGCCCTATGGAGAATAGAGAAGAGACCTTAGGATGGTGACTCAGATGTTGGGAGGATGAAGCGAGCAGTGTTCTTGGGTTAGGAGGCAGTTGGAGACAGGTTTTTCGAGTTGAGGGTAGAGAACTGAGGCTTTAGGGTGTGACAGTGAGGCTCAGTAGAGACTGTTTGTCTTTGAACTGTAGGAAGAAATCAGTGGCCAGGAGAGACAAGAGACAATGAGGGACAATGGACCAGCCAAAGAGGTGGAGCTAAGTTTCCAGGGCACCAGTTAGGTACAGGTCTCCGGGAGCAGCCAGAAGAAAAGTGGGAGCCGTTTCAGAGCCAGGTAGAGGTCTCTGCATTGTGCAGCCTACATCTGTTCCCAACTCTGGTGGGAGACTGCAGCCTAGGGCTGCCATAACGGAGTATACCATAAACTGGCCAGCTTAAAACAACAGAAATTCAGAGTTCTGGAGTCCAAACATATGAAATCAAGATGTTGGCAGGGCTTTTTATGGCTTGAATTGTGTCCTCCTAACATATTTATTTGTTAAGGAGCGCCCGTAGCACTGTGGTTAAGTGCTTGGCTGTGAATGGAAAGGTTGGCAGTTAGAACCTACCAGATACTCTGTGGGAGAAAGATGTGACAATCTGTTTCCGTAAACATTACAGGCTTGGGAACCCTATAGGACAGTTCTACTCTGCCCTATAGAGTCACTGTGAGTCAAAATTGACTCTACAGCATGCAACGATACCTGTGAATGGACTGCTGTTTGGAAATAGGGTTTTCTTTTGTTATATTAATAAGGTCATAGCAGAGTAGAATGGGTCCTACACTTAATTCCTTCTGAAAACTATTTTATAAAGGGGCGTACAGACACGAGAGAGACAGACACATGGGAGACACCATGTAAAGATGGAGATGAGTGAATCTAGAAGCCCAGAAATACCAAGGAGTAGCAGCAGCTACTAGAAACTGAAACAGATAAAGAAGGACCTTCCACTCATGTTTGTTTTTTGTTTGTTTTTTTATGCCAGCACTAGCAAACTAAGACATGACTCTAGGGGGTATCCTTAACTCATCCTATTTTCTGATGTTTCCTGACAATCCATGGACAATGGACAATCCTGACACTCCATCTTGGTTCCAAATTCAAAGATGGCTTCCATCACTGCAATCTCTGTCTCCGTTTTCACGTAGCCATTTTCCCTCTGTATGTTTCTGTCTTTGTTCTCTGCTCCTCTTTTGTATAAAGATACAGTGATATTTCATTAGAACTCATCCTACTTACAGTATGACCTCATCTCAGTTTAACTGATGACATATACAAAAACCCTATGTCCAAATAAGATGACATTCACAGATTGTGAGGTTTAGGACTTAAGCTTATCTTTTTTGGGGGGCACACTCCAACCCATAACAGTGGCTTCTTTCCCTCATCCCCCCTTGGTGATCAGGGAACTGGGAGAAAAGAACTCCAGGTTGAATTGGAAACAAGCAAAGGCAAGAGAATCGGAGTCTATACACCCGGGAGCAAGGTGTGGAGGTGTGTCAGGCCATGAAGAAGGAGAGCACTGTTTCATCCTGGACATCCTTCTGTGTTGGAAGGACAGACCAAGCTCTGTCTTCATCTGACTTAGTAAGGTGTACTGTAACCAAAACCAAACTCACAACCATTGAGTCGTATCTGACTCATGGTGACCCCTCCTTGGGTTTCCAAGGCGGTATCACTACAGAAGTAGATTTGCCCAAGAGAAAAGGGATACCAGAAAACAGGAAATGGACCCAGGTCAAGGTGTTTGGGAGGTACATTGCTGCCTTTATTGTACAGTGGCAGTTGAGCATCCAGAGTGAGAAGTTCATGGGGAACCTTTGGAGTCACTGTACTTTTGATGTACCTGTAAGAAGCCACTTATTTAATTCATAGGTTTCCATAAAATAATAATAATAATCTAATTCTTTAGAATGAAGTTAATAAATCCTCAGAATTCCCTGGGTGGTGCTCTGGCTACTAACCAAATGGTTGGTGGCTCACATCCACCCAGAGGTGCTTCAAAAGAAAGGCTTAGCAATCTACTTGTGGAAGTAGATTGAAATGCCAAACAGAGCACAGTTCTACTCTGACACACATGACATTGCCATGAGTCGGTATCAACTCCACAGCAACTGTGTGTGTGTGTTTTTCCTAAATAAATGCTCATCATAAAAATTTGAAAATAAAGAAGCATTGTAAAGTAGAAGGGACTCTTTGGTGGCGCAGTGGTTAAAGTACTCAGCCGCCAACCGAAAGGTTGGTAGTTCAAACCCACCAGCCATTCCACAGGAGAAAGATATGGTAGTCTGTTTTCATGAAGATTTTAGCCTTGGAAACCCTCTGGGGGCATTTCTGTTCTGTCCTATAGGGGCACTATGAGTCGGAATTGACTCAACTGCAGTGAAGTAGGAAGTTTGTAAAGTAAGAGGGGGAGTGACCCGGAGTTTTACTGCCCAAAGAAAAGCATTGCTAATATTGAAGAATACTCAACACAATGTTACGGTTTTAAAGGCCCTGTTTCTTGTTGGAACATAAAAAGAAACAACTGTGGCTAGCTTTGGCATCATTCTCCACAAAGGAAAGGTTATGCTACACCTTTCAAAAGAAAAGGGAACAATAGTGTGTATATGATTTCCAAGCAAATCAGGGGTCAAGTGGTATATACAATTCCAAAGTGACAGATTATCTCTATCTATGATGCGACTGATAGCGTAGTGCCTAAGGCACTTAACTGCTAATCAGAATCTGGCAGTTCAAACCCACCAGCCGCTCCTCAGATACTGCCTCGGAAACCCAAGAAGGGGTCGCTATGAGTTGGGTGCGACTTGACGGCACATAACAACAACAACAACGTGATCCAACTCGACGGCAGGTGGTTTGGTTGGGGTTTTTTTGCTTTGTTTTTTTATGTACTTATTTTAATCTAAGTCCGGAAAGGATTCTAGAGGAAGTTGGCTTTAAAATGTGCATTGATCTTGTAGGAGTCATTGCATTTAATTTTTTGTGGCTCAGACTAGAGGAGCATAATCTCTTTGGTTCACTTCTGAGCAACTTTAAATAAGAAAACAAAGCCTGCCGAAGAAAAAATAATAGTCTCTCTCCCAGATCTCCGCACCCATCTCTGCCCTCCACCCACCCTGAACCACAGCAGTACAATGTTCTCTGTGTTGCAAAAGCAAAAGGTAAAACTGAATGAAGGCTTGGGAATCTTTTTACATAACCTTGTGATTTTACCCACAGAAAAGTCTCTGTCTCCTGCAACGGTGAGGTTGGGAGCCGATGGCCAGCCCATGCCGCCCTGGATCACCATTGCTCGGCAAAAGCGCCAAGGGGCCCCAGACCAGCCACCCAACCAGGAAGACAGGCCTGGGGTACGGAACCTGAAGTCTGAAATGGGAAAGCAGGCCAAGGCCCCGGAGAGAGCCCAGGTGCACAGAGCAAACACTTTCTGTTTCAGGTCCCGGAGGGAACAGCCAGCTGGGGGCTGGGACTCCCATGCTGAGGGCACATCCTGCATGGTCACTGCCAAGACCATCATGTGTCGTAATGGCTAGCTAGTGTGTGGTAGAGGCTCAGTGAAGCCCAGTAAATGATTTGCCTGATTATAACTTCCGTTGTGGAGAAGCCTGCCGTATGTGTGTGCTGGGCTGTTAGGGAGGCAGAGAGGCGGGTGAACCACTTAGGCAGTGCAGACAGATCTCTGCTTCCTGCCTCCTAGGCAACCAGCTCAGCATCTGGAGAAATAAAAGGAGGTTAAAATAACTTCTCAGTGAGACTCACGACGACAACGTCAACAGCTCCATCTTGGCTCATTGCTCAGTGGTAAATGAGCCCTGCATTTGCTGCTACGCTGGCTGCTTACTGGGGCTCCTTACTCATCACCTGGGGCTGCAGGGCTGCAACTGGGGCTTCCATTCAACTTCTTGGACTGAAAACAGTTTTTCTAAAACCAAAACAACTGTGCTTAGGAGCAGGCCAAGACTCACAGTTTTGTATTCTCCTAACAGCCACTGCAGTAAATCTATAAGCATGTCGTGTAGTGTGGTGAAATGAGCCTGAGCCTGTAGTGGGACCTGCATCCCTTCATTTTAATGAAAATTTCAAATCATGCCAATGCTTAAAGAGCATCACATAGGCTTAGGGATTTTGTAAAAGAATATTAACCAGTGGTTCCCAGCTTGGAGCATCAGGATCACTCTCACCAAGTAACACAAAATTCTCAAAAATATTTCCAAGCACAATTAATACTGATTTTCAAATGGAGTCCCTGCAGCCCAACCATCTGGAGTTGAGGCCAGGTGCAAGGATGGGAATGAGGCTGTGACACACATATGGGCTCAAGATAAGGAGCAGCCCTGGTCTATGTTCTGGCATTCAGAAGCCTTAGGGTCAGTGAATTCACATGCCAGAGCTCTCTGAAGAAAATGCCAGCAGGCATGATTTATCTTGGGAAAGAAACCTTTTGGTGAGAGTAAACCTATTTGGTCCACTTTGGTTATGTTTGCCTCCTCTCTGAATCACAGGTGATCAGATATTATGTGTCTTTCTTGTATCCCAATAGGAGTCCACAAAACAAGCCGACTTTGTTCGTAGTAAATCTTTCCTAATAGCACCTGTGAAGCCCTTTGTGGAACGGAAACACGGTACAAAACTCAACCTCAAAGAGGGACTGCAAAGAGGAATCTCATTGTCCCATCAGAACTTGGGTATGAAATGTACAACTCTTATAAAATATTTTGAAACAAGTGTCTGGGATTGTTCTTGCAGTTTTGTTCTAGACATCTCTTTCATCTCACTACATTGCTGGATGTTTGTGAGCCAGTTCTTAAGCCTGTTCGTCACATACATAACATATTCTCTGCTAAGTCTTCTTTACATGTTTACATATTAACAAATTTTATATTTGAGAACATGACCAAGACCTTGATGGGTATTTTAAAGAAATGCAAGAGGCTTAAGTGAAAATCCCAACTCATTTCTCATGTTTGTGTTTGTTTTCTTTCCAGCAGCTCAGTCTGCAGTGATGACGGAGAAGGAGTTGAATCAGCTGAAGAGAGCCAGTTATGCCAGTGCGGATCAGCCATCCTGGATGGAACTTGCCAGAAAGAAATCACAAGCCTGGAGCGACATGCCCCAAATTATAAAATAGGTTGACCACGTGCTGGTAAAGAATGTCTGCTACCTTCATGAGCCACTTAGTTTAAAAAAAAAAAAACAGCCAGTAAATCATGGCAGACAAACTGTGAAACTTAAGATTGATTTTATCATCAAGTTATGAGAGAGCTCAGGGGAGAGAAAGGAATCAGGTAAAACAAGGAGGACAAACACAGAGCCACAGAGGGCCCATAAAAACAAGAATAACTATGAAGAAGGCCAGGAACATGTTCTTGTGCACAAATGGATTAATGTGAGTTGTTTAGCATTCCCTTGATAAGGAGAACTCAGACAGGATGGAAAATGGTAATGAAATGTGGATGAAAAAACTAGGATGTGGCTGCAAGACCAGAAGAGAAACTGTTCCAGGAGCATGTGCGTACTGTGCTTCCATCTGAGATAAACCCATCGTCTCTGAGTTGCTGTCTTGCCTGTGGATCCTGTCTTCTCTTTTCATGTTTACTGCTAGGCATGACATTTATGGTACAACAGGGATGCCGTTTTCCAAGAGCAGCTATAAAACAGTCTTTTCCTGAAGATAGCCATTCCAAGAAGAAGAGAAAGAAACATAGCAGAGTTCATCAGTTCATAAACTGTTTCCAAAAATAATTTTTAAAGACGTTTTCCACTAGGCGTCTGTGTCCTTACCCATTGCACAATGCATTGCCTGTTCAATAAAAGGTCTGAAACATAGTTTCTGTCATATGGTAAATGTTATTTCAACTCACATTTATAGAATGTATTCCAACACTGAGTTAAGTACTGTGTATGAAGTTTCATTTAATAGATACCTGGTTTAGAATCTCAATTGGGTTGATTTTAGAGTTTCAAGTTTTGGAAAAGGTTTTTTTTTCCCAAAATAAAAAATTTTGATGTTCATTTTTGGAAGTCAGAAGATAACACAGGGTTTTGTTTTGTTTTCACTTTGCTCTTTTAATCTATTTAGTATAACTTACTAAAAATATAAAATTTCCTGAATATTTTTTATTCTTAAGCATCTAATTAATCTAACCTGCACATTTCTTTTGAAAACTGGACTATGAATGCATTAGCCAGGGTGACCCCTGAATGCAGAATGAAGACAGGCAGAGGGAGAGCATATATTTGGATCTCAGAATTGTGTCTGTTACATTAAAAAAAAAAAAAAAAGAAAGAAAACAACTCATTGCCGTCAGGTCGGATCTGACTCATAGCGACCCCTCCTTGGGTTTCTGAGTTGGTATCGTTACGGAAGTACATCGCCCAACCTTCTTTCTGAGGAGTGGTTGGTGGATCAGTTATATCTGTTATGTAATACCTCTTTATTTTATAAAAAAACATTTCCAATTTGTTCCTTTTAACAAGTTAAACTCCATGGGAATATGTATTTCTGGAGGCATTTAGCCATCAAAATCAGTCAGACTTCATCATGTATTATTATTTGATTTGATGTACCCTAAGGTCTTCTACTTTTATTGTATATTCCATCTTCATGAATAATTCCTATCTAGCTGTTAGAACTACACAACTTGAAGAGGTCTACCTTTATTGAGCTCAAAATACAAAACACCTGATAGCATAGTGAAGTGTACTGTCTAATGGACTTTTACAGCTTAATATACAAAGTCCTGATACAGTTTTTTTTCCCCCAACCAAATTGATTTATTAACTGCATTCTCTCAGAGGACAACAATATGGAATTCCATGGTGAATATGCTCTAAACAAGCATGAACTCTATCTAGCCTTGATCCAAAATGGTTAGACTGAATAGTTTTAAGTGAAAACATCATGTATTATTAACCTACATGTATGACTGCCACTGTATCTAATCTGTTCTTTTTATAACTCAGAAGTAATTAGGTTTAGAGCACACCCTGCACTCATTAACAAAACACAGCCATATTTTCAAACAAGATTACATTCACAGGTATATAAGATTCCAGCATGTATTTCAGGGGACACAGTTCAGTTCATAACAATTACCTTCAATTGACACTCTCATTTTAAAAAAGTAGTGGTGCAGAGTTGAATCAGTGCCCTCAAAGATTAGACATGGAAGCATGGTACTCTTATGTCCAGTGCTCTTACGTCCCAGGGACATGTACACATCTCCTGGTGCCTCCTTGGGTCACCGTCCTCTCCCTTTAGTTCTTTAGAAGGACTAGAAAAAGTGTGAGAGTTTGCTGGTTTGTGATTTTTAATCATGCAGCTAGCTGAACTATTTGGTCTTTCCACTTACTTTTTCAGTCAACATCTCTGTGCCAGGCACTGTACGAGGGACTGGAGCATCTGAATGAGAAAATGTACAAACAGGCTAGTCTCATGGAATAGGCATGTTAGTTGGGAGAACACTTTAAATACATAAATATGGAAAAATAGCATTAAGTGTAACCATGAACCTAAAACAGAAGAACTTGGTTATGGCAGGACTACTTGAGATTAGATGGTTAGGAAAGGGTTTGCTGAAGAGGTGACCTAATTATAAAAATGAACATGTGAAGAACACACTGGGCTGAGATGAGTGCTCTGCAAAGGCCCAGAGGTGGGACTCAGACCTCACGTGTTCAAGGAGCAGTATAGCTGGGACATGGTTAACAGGGCAAGAAGCAGAAGAGAATGCATCAGACACAGGGCAGGCCAGTTGTGGGAGGCCTGACAGGCCACATGAGATGGTTTTTTTTTTATAAGTGCTTTGGGAAGTCAATAAAGGGAGTTCAGAGGTGGTGTGACTTATATCTTAAGAAGATGATTGTCACTGATGGATGAGACTTGACTGGGGACACAGGCAAAGACAGGAAGCTTGAAGAGTCTTGCTATAGTCCATATAGAATCATGGTGGCCTGGTCTGTGTTGATGGTGGAGATGGAATGAAGTGGATGGATCTAAAACACATTTTAAAGGAAATGTAAAATCCAACATTTTGGTGTATTTGATGGGGTAAAAAAGGAAAGGATGAAAATACAGAAGACATGTAGATTTTTGGCTGGAGCTCCAAGGTGAGTAGTGATAACATTTACAGAAATGGAGAGAAGGCATAGAAATCATGAGTCTGGTTTTGTACATCTTAAATGTAACATTCCCTTGAACATCTAAATGGAAATGTCAAGTAGATAGATACAGTTATTAATTTGGGAACTGTGGTGTTTATGTTGTGTGTCAACTTGGGGGGGCCTGGTTGAGTGGCTGGGCAGCTGGTGGTAGTTATTCCCCATGATGAGACTGGCAGTCAACTCCATGGGGGGATCTACGACAAGCAGCTGAGTAGCTGCCTTTGGAATGTGGTCTGCTTCCTGTACATAAGGAGAAGCCTTGAGAATGGTCTCTAGCCTATGGCACACTTGGACCCTTCATGTAGCCATGTCATTGCTCAGCAGCCTGCTATGCTCTGCTGACCTTGGGACTTACAATGGACTTAAGTTAATGGCCTGCCATGTGGTTTGGTAACATCAGGACTGTGCCTTTTTACTTGTAAACCTTGGGGCTTCTCAGCCTCAGCAGCTAGCAGCTGTCTGAGTGAAGAAACACCTCTAACTCCAGTGGGCCGGGAGCAGGAGGCAGAGCTGGACCCCAAGGTTGAGGGGCTTTCACCCAGCCCCTAGAGACTGGAACTTTGAACTTGGACTTAAAGCCTCCAAATTGTAAGAATAAACTCTTGTTTGTGAAGGTCATTCCATTTGTGGTGTATTTCTTGTCAGAGTGGCACTAGGTAACCAGAACAGGAACCATCGGCATTTAGATGGAATTCATGGATCTGGATGAAAACTTGAAGAAAAGAGTCCCAGGATTGATCCTAGGACACTCCAACCTTTGGAGTCTAGATAAAGAAGAGCTAGCAAAGGAGAATAAGGAGGGGTCTGTGAAGGAGGAAGAAAAGGAGAGGAGGATAAAGCAAGAGAAGAGTGTGAGAAGAAGAGGAAGGAATCAGCTGTTTAGGCTGGAATCTGCCGAGAGCCCAGCCAGATGAGATTCAGTGACCACTGGCTCTGGGAGCATGGAAGTCATGGAAGATAACCTTGACGAGCAATTTCAGTGGAATGTTGGGGAAGGAAGCCCAGGCAGAGTAGGTCAAGGCCAATCAGCCTGTGAGGGCATCAACTAATATCAGCTTTTAAGAAGTTTTATTGTAAATGGGGCAGAAGAAATAGCAGTAGCTAGAGGAAAATGTAGGGCTAAAAGGATTTTAGTTTTTGGTCTTTAGAAGGAAGGTATGAGACCATGTTTGAGTATTGATAGGAATAAACTTGTAGGAGATAAGGGAAAATTGCTGAAGCTTGTCTTAGTTTGCCTTCCAGAGCTTCAGTAAGGATGAAATGCCTGCATGTATGGACTGTGCTTGCTGTTTCTGGAAACAGGAGCCTTAGGTTTTGATCAAGCTTCAAGGGGAGGCCCTACTGTGGTGACAACCTGGTCGTGTCCTTCCCCTTTTGCCCTGGCTAACTGTGGACACTTCTCAGTTTTCCCTACCTTGGGTTAAGTGTTACTGCCCAACTCCTATATTCAGGGAGAATGACGTAGGATATTATTTGGGTACACAGAGCCCTGGCAGCCCTTGATGTGTTGTGTGCATATATGGTCCAGGCGACGTCTCCTTTCACCTTGAAAAGCTAGGGGAAAAATTAACTTAAATACCAGAAAATGATATGCTTGGAAAATTCCAAAGCCCATCCCATGATTCTTGAGTCTTCTGTTCCTAAGGCTCCCTCCACACTTGAGACTCAAGTTCTTTTGGTGATTTTTGCTGTCTTTCCCCAGAGCTTGGCCCCTTCGGTAGTCTGGGGGAGAAACCCGTGCATACCTTGCATTCTTTTTGTTTGCAAAAACCCTATTAAATATTCATAAGGAGGGGACATACCCCATAGTCCTCTGTAGCTTCCTAGTCTCCTGCTTCTGCCACCTGCAACAAGATAAATTTCTCTTGTAATCTCAAACACAACAAACGTGCCTTGGGGTCTCACACACATATATGACATGCAGCTTACCAGAGAATTTCTCCACAATAAATGGAGTGGTCTCAC